TGCTATTGATATACAACTAGCCTCTGTGATATTGTCTTTGGTTTTCTTTGGACACAGAGACGACAGAGAACAACATTTACGCCATACCAGTTATCCACCTTGGAAACTCTGTTCTCAAAGACACACTACCCGGATATATTCGTCCGCGAGCAGCTGGCGTCTAAAATCCAACTGTGTGAGGCTCGGATTCAGGTAATACACTATGAAAATGGTATAACTATCGAGAGTTAGATAATCATGATACACACTTCAAAACAGGGTAGAGAAAACTTAAGATTTAGAAAAAATCGTGTTAGATAACAATAATATCTTACGTGAGTATATTTGAAACTCTTCAGCCACGAAATATTCATTTGCAATAATACAATGTTATGTATAATTCAAGAATCAAGATTTCTGTAAGCTAAACTGAAATTAACACTTGCAGTAGTTAAGTAGTTGAATAGTTTGTACATTTGCTGTAGCCAATCCCGGAACATACAGATTATATAACTGATTTTGTTTGGATTATTATTTTAGGTATGGTTCCAAAATCGCCGAGCCAAATGGCGGAAAGACATCCGCAGTATGAAGCCCCCCTCATTTCCGAATGGAAGGCGTCCATGTGGATTTGAGGGGTTTATGAACGACATACATTTCCAGTTACACGGAGCGTCCCGCGGCGCCATGAGTCTCCAGTCACACTATCACCTGGCCAGAAGTCGGTGCGACAGGTTCCCGCCGCCTGACTACCTCGCCACGTTTCAGCCACAAATGGAAGACCCAATTAACAGGTAACAGATTTGTAAGGCGAAAGCCAACTGTCAAAAGACAAGTGACATTTGTTGGTTATTGCAATCGAAAAAATGTTCCGAGGGTTGAGATTTCTACGATGACCCATTTCATCCGGCAGTTTACAACCTAATCATTGATAAAACTGTCCCTTTATCCGTGGCCCGTTTCAGCCGGCAGTTTACACACCTAAAATTTTAATTTGTCCCGCACTAGTCAGGGCCCAAAGACAACTTATTCACATAGGTTTTCGTCCCCAATATAGGAAAGAGGCGAACGACACACTGAACATTGATGTTTTTGTACCATTGGCAAAAATGTACCTACGTCAATGATTCGTTGTAGCCAGGAGTTTACAAACCCAATATTGTTCAAACTGTCCCTAAATATTCAGGGACAGAAGACAACCTTTATACAGGCGCATGTGGACCTTACATAGAAAATGGGCGAAAGACACACCAAGCAATGACGTTTTTGCAACATACCAGTTACATCTGTCATATAATGCTCTTATGCCGTATCTATAGAGGAATCCTATTTAGTTAATTGGTTGACATTATGGTAACCTGCGCACGATCCAAAAAGGTTCAAATAAAAACACGATAATTGTGTTACACATTTTATTTAATGTTCGAACAATAACAGGAATAGTTTGACTTTTACTTGTGTTTTCTTTCGTTATGGGGAGACCAACGCTTGCATCACATCGTTCCTCTTGTATATATCTAGTAGTTAGAAACGGAAGCAAACATTAAATACGGCCGGTTAAAATTGTTTTGATGTTCCGTATGTCGCATCTTTGGCTTATACTAAAGTATGCAGGATTTTCACATTCTAATTATAAAAATTTGCGACAAACAAAATTATTTGAATTTATCAATATGAATGGAGACATTAGCTGTGTATGTCAATTGATGTAAAGAGTGTAACCCTGATTATCGGGAGGGTCATGGCTTCAAGTGGACGAATTTCATGCATGCATCGTTCGGTGAAAACTCATTTGTCTTTCATTTTTTGTAATTAACACATCAAAGATTAGACCATTTATGACCCCTGTTTCCGAGGTAAAACATCATAGCTTGGTGTGTCTTTCGCCCATTTTCTATGTAAGGTACACATGCGCCGGTATTAAGGTTGTCTTCTGTTTCTGAATATTTATTTAGGGATAGTTTGAACAATCTTGGGTTAGTAAACTGCTGGCTACAACGGACCATTGACGTAGGTACATTTTAGCCAATGGTACAAAATACATCAATGTTCAGTGTGTCTTTCGCCTCTTTCCTGTATTGTGGACAAAAACCGATGTGAGTAAGATGCGTTTTTGCCTCGGACTAGTACGGGACAAATTCACCAATGTTAAGTGTGTAAACTGCCGGCTGAAACGGGCCAATGATTCGGTTGTATATACTGTACTTATTTAACACATTTGATATATATTTTATGAACAGCGTAACATTCGCTTTTTGTTAATTGTTGCTTTTATATGACCATATCTTTCTCATTTACTGGCGTCCATAAATGTTGGAATTTCGATATTTCCGCCCTATACATGTATATCATTTTTTAAATGGGAGTACATGCGAGAAGGGAGGTAGCTCTAATCGGTATGGGAGAAAATCTCCGTTAATTCACAACCATGAAAGAATAACGGAGACTCATGTTGATTTTTCTAATGACCAAAGTTTATTATGAATTGTATTTTTCCGAGTGCTGTAAACCTCCATCATTCGACGAAATTAAAAAAATTATTTAGTACCCGTAGTTGAAAATGTCCGAAAGTTGTTATCAACAGCGCATTTTATATCAATCATTACTTTTCTAGCTCTATGATTGAAGATGATTAACGTATCTTTGTTTGAATAACTACGGAATAAACATTGATTAAACTCATATATTAGCGAAGCTTGATCTGCCTGTGATATTAAAACTTATATGTGTTTGTTATATTGTTTTACTTTCGAGGTATTTACCTATAGATTTGTTTTTCATACAGGACCGGAAGTGACGTATTTCCTCTATGTAACGTCACTGGCTATGAAGGACGGCATTACCTCGAATGTTCTTGTATGCCACGGGGAAGTAACTCTGATATACCGTTCGTTGAAACGGTATCCAAGAAAAACACAGACTGATGCCGAGTACACATCACATGTATAGGTGAATAGTTCTCATTAAAAAGTAGAATAAAGGTTTTAAACTATTGCTACGAACGTGTCGATTAGTTTTTCAAACAACTTACAGTTGTTGCACTGTGAACTATTGCGATTATCAAAATTGAAATGTTTTTAGTGTAATAGATAATAAATCTTAAATATTTCCGCCATGTTGAAAGCAATGTTTCATTGATGGTACAGCAGATTGTCCGGTTAACCTTTCTCCTACATGTGAGACTAATTATACATAAACTAGACAGTTCGATAAAGGTGTTTACTTCTTCCATACTGTATCTATAAGCCCTGTCCCGTTTCAGCCAGGGAAAAGTTACCGGAAAAAATGATTTTTATATTTGCATATGTACCTTATACATATTATGCATATTAAATGTTTGTCCGAATTTAGCCAATGCTATCTGCAATAAAATACAGAGTGTGCATGTTCGTACATTGGTACATAGGTATCCCGACATGATCAGTCACTGTTCTTATCTTTTCGCATCTACGCCCGGTTGTAATCAGATGCAATAAACAAATACTCTCTCGCTCGACTATTGTCCTTACAGTACTTTTGTGATAACGACTGTATACTGTGTTAAAGATTACTAATTATAAATGACGTCAATAGCTAGATTTGTAAGGGTGGTATGATGATACATCCTATTTGTACTCCCTCTGTCCTGACGATTAAACACAGATTCAGTTACATTAGAGGATATTTTATTTACCAAATACAAAGTCATTTTAATGCATAATGGTATCATAATGAATAAATGGTGTTTATCCAGTACAAAGTGAACAAATATTAATATATTTCGCATGCCTACAAGTGATTAAATTAATAAAAAATAAGCTCGCTGTTGAAGTTATTTCCATAAGGAACTGCAGAGTTATCTCCCTTGAAAAAAATATAGTGCTAGGCCTATACTATACCTTATTATATAGTAATTATAAAGTATTATTATCTAAATCTTAGCTGGGTCAGCAACAAGCGACTAGACGGTTTTGTACTGTGGCAAATGATATACAAAGTTCCAAACGCACTATACAGCTCAGGCCAGAATTGAACCAAGCCGTGCAGACAGCAAACATCAGACTGAGTTGTCTCTCTTTATACAGCTATCACCGACTATCGATCAAGTCGAAACATAAAACCTACATGGTTATAATTACATTGCAAATCATATCATCCATGGATTTGGCTCGTTTTCCAGCTTATCAATGCCCTCTTTGAATTTATAACATATCACTACGAACTGATTCGTATACAGGCAAAATTGTTTGATGTCAAATTTAGGTCATATTTCAGGTCAAATGTTCCTGAAAAAATGCAAAATAACCCAACAAATATTCACGTGACAGGAAAACATTCTTGACGGGCACATGGGGTCTTGATGTGGAAGGAAACCGGAGAACTCGAAAGAAAACACGTAGTCGGGTAGGTGACCCCCTATTTGTTACGTCCGATCGGGGTCGAATTTATTCTTTTCAGGTAAATTGCAGATCAATCTTTGCTATCATGGGGATTTTTTCAGGTCAATTTCCGGTCAGATTTTTTTTCAGATCAAATTGACATCAAGAACTTTTACGGGTATAATTTATACACAAACGACTTACGTGTCTGTTTCCAGATATTATAGCCTCAGTACAGAAACAGAAAGAAGAAGGCAGGTTAGATACTTATAATAGGAAGGTACACATTTAACGTACTTAGTAATAACCGTTTTGATTATTGGAAACCAAGAATCCAGCACAGTGTCTAGCTATAGGTTAACACACATGTGTACATCATAAGCATTTTTCCATCTGACCGACTGTCTGGGTAATAAATCTTGAACGGCTGGCTGTTTTCTGATTTTGTAAATAATTTAGAAATGAATGAATCGTGATAAGGATGTGCCAAAATTTTCAAGAAAGTGTCAATAAGATGAGAACACGGTTTATTTAAATCTTAATGCACAATACGGAATTATGAATGTTTCTGTGATTTGTAACCCAACAGTTAATTGTAATAATACAAAATAACAAGACATGATTAAAAAAAAAAAGATTATAAAACATAAAATAACAGTTTCAATAACAAAATAATTTCGCACATTTCCTGTTGATTTTGCAAAGAATATAAAATGTTCCTTTCCATAATCAAAATCTTGAAAAGCTCTCTAGTTTTCTTGGTGATTGATACATTGACCTCAGTATTTTTACAATATCTGCACCACCATATCATGACGAAAATTGCATCGGCTCGTTCCGACACCACCTGCCATCGGCTTGTTCCGGCACCACTGTCATCGATTAGTTCGTACATCACCTGTCATCGGCTCGTTCCGGCACCACCTGCCATCGACTAGTTCCGGCACCACCTGTCATCGACTAGTTCAAACATCACCTGTCATTGGCTCGTTCTGATACCACCTGCCATCGTCTTGTTCCGGCACCACCTGTCATTGGCTCGTTCCGGCACCACCTGTCATCGACTAGTTCCAACATCACCTGTCATCGGCTCGTTCTGATACCACCTGCCATCGTCTTGTTTCGGCACCACCTGTCATCGGCTCGTTCCGGCACCACCTGTCATCGGCTCGTTCCGGCACCACCTGTCATCGGCTCGTTCCGGCACCACCTGTCATCGGCTAGTTCCGGCACCACCTGTCATAGGCTAGTTTCCGCACCACCTTCTGCATAGGCGAATTCCGGCATTAACTAATAGCGTTACAGGTACAACCCCCTTAGTTTCATTCGGGGGTTCAACTGTGTCCGCAGGAACAATTTCGTCCAATGCGAAAATATGTAATTTGCATATAACTGCTCGAATTATCATTTGAAATATCAGAAGATGCTTTACAATTTTCAGTTTTAAATATTTCAGAAGGATGCTTCAAGCATTAGAGCGTGTTCACAGGTGTTACCATACTTCGGATATTTGAAACAAATATCTACCATTTGTAGCCTTTTGTGGTTTTATGATACTCCCTTTCAAGTCCTTTATTGGCAATTGTCATAGATCTGACCTTCGTGGGAGGGAGATGGCCATCGTCCTTATAGATATTGATGTACTGGGCAGTTGGTGGAAGGATCTGTTGGGTTTCAGAGGCTCTTGTTGCTCCACGAATGGCAGGAAGGCGGACGCCATCTAATGAGGCCATTACAAGAGAAGAGGAAGTATTTACACCCTTTGTTGGTTCAAGTAGTTTACCAAGAGATCCATATTTTATGCTTGAAGACTCTGATGTAAAAGCGTTCTTTGGAGTTGTTTTCTTTTCACTTGGTTTGAAGCCTGGTTGTGGAATCCATGCATATGCAGACATGAGGTAATTTCCCCTACGTTCAATATATCTTGAAGGTTTGAAATCGCATGGTTCTCTTCCCCTTGACACCCGTGGTAAACATCGACTGTTGCTGACACTAGCGGGGGCAGCTCTTAATGGTGGCAATGGATACTTAGCAGATGTATTCTTCTTGTCTGTTGGTGTACTCATCTTCTTTTGAGAAGTTGGCTTCTTTCCTTTGGTATTCTTTGGTGTAGCTGTTAAAATAAGTCAGATTATAAATAAATGTAGTGCTCTGGGAAATTGCGGGGAAAGAATCCTGAAAAACTTTACGTATTTATTTAACTCAAATCTCATTGAAAGTTTAACATTCTTTAAGACAATTTTTCGTTTACCTTGGTGTTTACGCTGAAGCGGTAACGCCGCTTCTTTTGGACTGTCTGGGCGGATATTGATAATATCTGGTTCGTTGTCTAAATTAGGGGAGCCCGGAATTGGAGACCACAACTGGACGGATCCGAAGTTTCCATAATACATCGTTGTTTCTCCGATCACCAAACACTTATCCTTCATAGTTTTCTTCAGACGTCTGCATTTTAGTGATCCATGATAGGCTGATGACATTTTCCGTTCATTCAACTCTGCTTTATCCATTATATATTTCACTTTTTAAGTAGATAATGATCGCTTCGTTGAACAGAATATGGAAAGCAGCCGACGTAAAATTTTATAGCGTGTAGCTATGGAAAGAATTGTGGGTATTTCAATTATGTCGTATTCGAGATTGTGACGTCATGTATATTGTGACGCTGACAATGCGGTTGTCGCCAATGCCTGGCTTATCCCAGCTGGTGAAACGTCGCTTGTGCAAATTCTCTCTATGGACAAAACAACAACTAGCTGAACATTGAACGAAACAGGAACGCAATCAACGGATGATTTTTTTTTGATCGAGCTTCGCGCTACAGGGAATTTCCCTTTAGCTCAGTGGTAGAGCGTTCGACTGGAAAGTATGGGAACGCGGGTTTGATCCCCGGGGGAAACACACTATTTTCTCTCCTGTTACACGCGGAACAGTAACTATAGCTGTTTGATGGCCTACTCGGCAATCCTATCAAGGGAGAACACGTCTCTAATAGCCTCTCCTGTTATCACTGGCGAGTATAGATATTTCTATTACGTATATGTTCAGATTAAAAGTCGGTAGTGTAAATGGTATAAATCATCAGATATTTAGAAATTGTCAATGATACAAATATACTTAATGGGATGATTTGATGGCGCTAAGATAACGTAATCGCGTTTAAACAAGGCGGCCGGGATTCGACCCCGATCGGACGTAACAAATAGGGGGTCACCTACCCGACTACGTGTTTTCTTTCGAGTTCTCCGGTTTCCTTCCACATCAAGACCCCATGTGCCCGTCTATCCGGGCCAACATGTTTGATTGAGATGGGAAAAAGAGTTTCTTAATTATAGTTTATAGCATTACTACACGTCAAAAAAAAAGCTGCAGTTTGTCCTTTCACGTCACTTGTCGTCGAAAACGTAATTTCTTACTGCACAAAGACAGTAACTTTAATTTGATTATGTTACACCCAGCCATCTTTCATTGTATATGACATAACGAAGGGGCGTCGATAATGCTCATGATACCTTTGCTGTAAGTATACTTATGGCAATGAAATATGTTTAAATTAAACTGCACAAAGAAACCTAAAGTTACTATTTCAAAATCGATGATGTAAGAGACGAACAGCATCGGATCCCCACACACTCAGAGTCAGTGGGAGTTATCGTTCTTTGTACGTGCTTCGTGCTTTTATTTTCAATGCGTGCGTTCGAAGATGGAGTAACATAAGTAACCAATGGATTTCATAACATTTTCTGTGTTGTAAGACAAATATATACGTTTATTCAAACCACTCATTTATATACCTCCGAATTCCAGTTTTAAAACTGGTGAAATCGTAACAGTTGGATACATGACACGTCAAGAAATAAGTCCTATTAAGGATCCTCCTACGGTTGGCGAAAACTACACACTGGAAACTGTTATCGGCATGACTATAGTTTTTATAAATCATTTCTGAAAAGAAAAGCATACATTGGGGGACTTTTATGAAAAATAATATTAAAGGTGAAATAAACAAAATATAATCATCGACAGTGTTCTGAGTGTGAAATTCGACAGGGGCTAGACCGGGATTCGAACCCTGCATCGCAAACTGTTATATCTACGGAAATGTAAGAGTCTGTCCTTAGAAATATACTATATATTAAATGGAGCTACAGTTTATATTTCAATCCAGAAGAAATATATATAATATGCTACTTTAAAAAGATCTACAACTGTCGATTTCTTTTGTTACATATCAATATCAGAGATCAAATTAAAATTCCACAACAAATTACAAGTTATCAGCTTGTTACATACACTGTCCGTAAGCGCACGCCGTGATAGCATCGAAACGTTAAATTTTCGTCAGGTCAAATTTTGCCGTAGGGGTTTTAAAATTAATTTTCCTACTTTTATTTACTGGTACNATCTCTAGATCTTGACATCGAAAATGACATTCGACAGAAAACAAGAAATCCAAAGGTGGTGGATTAATGGATTGACATGTGGAATAACGAGTGTTATAATCAAGAAAACAAGTCAGCAGAGATATGGTCAACAAAACAAAAGTGTTATGCGGAGTATGCAGACAATTTTGGTGAAGAAATCTTCGTCACCGAAAGGGAGAAACCTATAAGATCGCCACCAAGTAAAGTTAAACTACCTACAAGTACAAAATCACTTCCTAAAAAGCAGATATCGGCAACGGTTGAGTCTAAACATACAACCTATTCAGAAGCTGTCATGTCACCTACTATATTGACGGGAAGGCAGCGGATGAGCACACCGGACAGGACTCAACATTATAGCAAGAAAATACCAACGCCGCCAAGTAGAATATTAAGACCGCGTGATCGAAGGATGAGCTATAGTGCGACACTTCCGGTTTCTTACAAGGGGACAACCTATATCGGACAGAAGTCTTTTTTAGACCGAGGCGCAACAAAAGACGAAGGCGGAGGGTCTCAAAGAAAAAAACAAATAAACATTCTGTGAGTAAAGATAGCAAA